TTTTCCGTCACGATCCATCAGGATGAGCCAGTGCGCAAGGGACAGAGTCCAGCTCGTACTTTAACACTTCTCTCAAGTCGATATCCCTTGACCGTGAAGCTATCAAAAGACGCCCAAACAAGTTTCTGTCCACGCTTACTGTTACAAGCTTCTCATCCACGGACTTAACCTTTGCTTTCTTTGACAAACTTGCAAAGGTTTTTATGTTCATCTTTTCCATCGGTTCCCAAAAGCCAACTTCATTGGTATTGATACGCTTGCTCACAAATAACTTCATCCTCGCTTCTCCTAGACATTGGGCATCAATAAGTTGCTCTGATATCTCCTCTGGCATAACTACTCCCGTAGCAAGGTTCATTAGTGGAACGTCCTCTCTGTACGCATCTTCATCGAACGGATTAGACATCACTGTCTGCAGAGTGTGTATGACCTTCTTGATGTCATTTTCGTCTCTTTGAACTCTGACTTTTGATGATTCCTTGTGTGTACTTCTTGTAGATTCATCCAAATCTATCATTCTTTTGGTAGCAGTCATGGTTGCTGTTCTCTCGTGTGTTGTCAAAAACCATTTCTGGAGAGTGCTTGGCCTTTGCGCAATACCGATTATGCCACCTTTAGCTTTACTGTCAAGGTTAATGCTCTGTTCGAGAGCCATGTCCGTCCAGACTTGGTTAAATGACTGTGAAGTTGACCTGCTGACAGTGTGGTTCCCTCTAAGGAACTCGTTGTAGATGTCTAGAGCTTTTTCTTGCAGATTGCGCATATCCATAATATAAACAGGCAGCCACCGGGAGTAATTCACGCGATCCATTGCAAAAAAATAAGGATTCATCTTTGTTGTAACCTCAAGATGCAACTCCCAGTCACCCTCTCGTTCTGCTCGAATGAACTCGAGGAGAAGGAGAATCATCTCGATGTACTTGTCCCAAAACTTGAAAAGTTTCGATGACGTTTCTTGTTTAAACCGCATCAATAAGTCCTCAACACGGTTGGCAGTGTTACAAAGCAGCAAATAGGCCTCTTTCTTCTCTTCAGCTGTTGTTGCTGTTCTGTAGCGCTCTATGACAGAGTCAACGAGATTTAGAATTGGACCTCCTTCGCTTTCGACTTCTTCACCTCCTCCTTTACTAACCCAGGAGCAAAATGCGTCCCATTTCAAACGCAATAGCGCTTCCATAATCAATTTGTGTCCTCTAATTCCCCTGTTGTACGATTTTTCCCTGCAATAGTGCCATAGTAGAGTTCGATCCGTAGAGGCCAGACTCTATAAATACATCCTCCAACCCACTCTCCTGGGACATCTTTCCGATCAAGGCCAAATAATTGAGTGCAATGTGAAACCCCTCTAAGCAAATCACCAGGTTTTGGAACTCTTCTGGATAACGCCAGTGGATTTCCTTTGCCTTGGAATAAATTGCCAGATCAAATCTGATTACTGCAGTGTTCTGCTGGAGATGTTTGGACATTTCTTGCACTGTTTTGAGTACCATATAGATGGTACTGTACTCTGTTGGTGATCCAGCAATCATCGGGCAGTACCCAATGACGGTGCGAGGCAACGTGATGGAAGACATTTCGGCATTGAATGCGCTCCATCCGGAAATTGATTGCTCTCCGTAGGTATCATTGGCCTTCAATACGTTTTTTCTATTCAGCCTGAGCAGAAACCATGCCAGTTCTCTTACATTCTGAGTTGTTGTGCAATCGTCTCTACATTCAAAGTTCTCTTCTACCCTTCCTATGAATGAGGTCAACGCAGGACGCTTACCATGCACACTGCACTCGTGCATGAGTTGACCCTGAACAGGCTGCTCTAAAGATCTTCTTCTAGAGGAGTGGTCGGCCTGGACCTTCGGTGGGAGTTGGGGTCCAAAAGGCTGACGCTGATACACTACTAGCGTTGTGGCGTGTGTAGTTTTTTTGCCATCTAGAGTTTCCTCGTTGAAGTCATTATTGTAGGCAGCGAATTGTACAAATGGGCCGGCGGTAATGTTTGATGGGATGACTGCTCCAGTTTGTTGGCTCCGTGCCTCCATCTCTCTTGCCCACACTGTGTTTACGATTTCGACATCATCATATGAAGAGCAGTGCCCCATTATGTTTAACAAAGTCAAGACTTCCTTAGACCCTGTTAAATGATGTATGGTGACTGCCAAACCTATGTGTTTCGGTGTTTTCACCTGACTATTGGTCGCGGAATGAATTATATCCTGACCTAGCAAAACTACGTGTCTTCCTTTCTCAGCACTAAGAGTAGCTCCATCCGACACGATAGTGGCCTTTTTGTCTTGCCTAGAGATAACCTCTGAAAGAAAACTGTAAAGGCTTTCCGGTATTAGACACCTGCCCTTCTCTATGGACACATCTTCTACACACAATGGCTTGATTGAAATACCATTGCACTGTTTGATGTCATTCTTTATTATCTGGGCTGCTTGGTACAAAATGCTAGCCTTATCCTGTTCCATATCCTGTCTCGTGTCCTCATCGACTTCAAAATCTTCACTGGACTGTTGAGAGACTAATGTTTTTACTATGTCTGCAACTGACAAATGACTGGAATAAATTAATTCGGGCTTCAAAGGGTCGTTCTGCTTCTCGATGACTATTTGGTCTAAGAAATGGCCTCACATTCTTCTTTTGAGCTTTTCGCTGCGATAATTGCTGCAAGAAATGTCTTTGACTTCCAATACCTGCTTATAGCGGTCTAACAAATGGCTCATGTCATAAATCTTTCCTTCAGATAATCCAGGAGTAATTTCATCCACTAACATAGCAAACGCTGCGGAATACATACACTCCTCCTCTTCATTATCTTCCTTGTAACTGAGACATTTTAGGTTTGTCTTACTGACATATTTGCTTCGGCATTTTCCGTTATACTTCGCTTCTTTCGCTATCAAATCAATGCCTTTGATATTTAAAAGCAATTGCTGGTCATCACGAGTAATGGCAGCGTCTACATAATATTTTAAAGGAGGAAAACTATCACAATTTTACCGACAAAAAGTTCTCAAGTGTGACTAAAGCAAACACACCAGGAAATTCTCCATATATACAGTATATGTATATCTAAAAAAAGGTAATTGCTTTACAATTTATAATCAAATACATGTTTTAAAGATCAATGGTTCAGTTTATATTGGATTGGTTATAAAAACAAGGACTGTTGTTTTCGATTTTCACAAAGAACTTACAGAGATTATAAAGAACAATTTTCTTTAGTTCATGAGCTCAGTAAAATAATCAACCAATCAACCCTGAAAAATCTTTTAACCTACACCTAGCACGTCAAAAATAAAAAAATAAAAAAATAAGTGTTTAACGCGATTAAAAGTAGCAAAAGGGAAGCAAAAAAAAACAAATAATTCTTACCTTTTGAAGATTAAATCGATCCCGCAATTAAAATGGCGGATGCTACTCGCAAAGCAATTCGTGATATGCATCAAAGGTATCATGGAAATGAAAAGGAGGAATGGATAAGAAATCAACTTAAGAGGATTTACGGGAAAAATAACTCTCATAAAAGTTGATTGTAAAAGCTTTAAGAGCTTTACCGCAAATTACACAAAATCTAAGCAACTAAAAAATCAAGTATTTCAATAATTTAGTATTAAATTTTCGGTACAATACTCAAGAAAGAAAGCAAAGCCTCTCAAGACACAGAGATAATAATAACGTCAAATATAACAATACCGTTTCAAAACATATGTATTTGTATCCAAGATCTTTGCTAAAGACTCTCCACTCTGATTAACATTTCTAGACACACACGAAAAAAAAAACACCTATAAAGATTTGTTTGTGTTGATACTGTATTACATTTTAGCCAAATGATTGTATTTTTAGGCATATGAGGAAAAAGTTTAAGGGAGTCATTCAACATTCCTCAAACCGGTAAAAAAACTTATTTCATTTTTCTATGAAGTTTTGTCTTAAATTGCTTTATTTAACCCATATCTCTGTTCGATCTTCTTTAAAAGGGGCATTGCTTACAAAAAACGCATCTTAGCAACCGTTGTCATGGAAACAAGGATCATTTCGCAAAAATGTTTTAAAATGAAAGAGCTTATAAAGTTACATGACTGTCCATAGTTTCATCATTGAACAATGTTTAGTCTTTAAGATATGATTTTTCAAAGGTTTTAATTGGTAACAATAGGAAAATAGGGTTTAGAGGCAATTATGACAACTTTCATGACTCGTTACAAGACAATGGAATGGTTTGATCTGCAAATTTGTAAAAAATCTTATACAAACGGTTCTCGAGAATTAGTAAATATCAATTGTAAGCACATTCTAAGTACATCGGCAATGTATATTTGTCGCGGAAGTCAAAACATCCGTTATTATTGACGTTAGACCCCATAGACAGAGTTTCCTTATAAACCGTTACCATGGCAACGCAAAAAAGGCACAAAATACATCAGAGATTGTAGCTCTTATGGATTAACACGCGTTGGCCAAATACTAACCCATTTGCCT